CCTACAATTTCCTGCGACACAGCTGTGCCCCTGTTTACATGTGACAGCTACCTCCCACAATGCACTTTGGAAATATTTCAGGACGTTATTTAACAAAACAGAATTTATGTTCACACTTAGATTTAAAGTCCTATAGATAGGTATTGGTGGTTTAACTAATCACGCACAGAACGGATAATAATCAGTTTCATTGTGGAAAAAAACATTATTGTCTGTTAAGATCAGGATGCAATTTTTCGAGTAGAACAGCCCGTCATCTCTATTAGAGAATATTATATTTCCAACATTGCTTCCTTTAAAGATTTTATTTTAAAACTCATCTCCTAAAATACGAGCAATTTTTAAACTGTACATCTCCGGAATGTCATACAGTTTGCTCCACCCCAATGTAGTGTAACAAAGCATAGTTTAAATGGTTAAAGCGAAGCTAAATTTTTCCACTTCATGTTTCACAATTTTCAGTGCCCCGTTTATATGATTTATTAAGATACTGTATTGCTGAAAAAACGAGACTGTTTAATATATGTTTCGATTTGTGTTAAACACATTTTGCAATTTATGCATATTTGCATTTGTGCAAGGTTACCATTTATCGATATTTGGCTGTTTTTCCATAGTTTCAAGTTTGTCACGAGACGATTCTGACAAAAAAATTCCATAACCGTCCAGTCAGAATCCAGAATACGTGTATGCTCAAGCACTCATTTGAGATTAACACGACACAATGAACACAACATATTAAGCAATATGTATGGTCACAAACGATTTATCATTTTTTTGGAAATGATCTCGATGCCAAATCGTCGCTTAATAACAATTATTGACATGTTTGATTATTCGAGCGTCAGTAAATGGTATACATGGATATCTGGCAATTTGTCACGTATTTATTGGTGTCTAAATCCCCGACCATTAGTTCTACACGTGTCCTCTGTATTAGGATGGCGATTGTAATCTGGCTCACATCAAACTTAATGGCAGCCGGTAATAACAATGATCCCAATCGGAGCTGCAAACGTTTTGATAGTTGTGAATTAATCATCATAGAACCATTGTCAGATCAATCGCTTTCAAAATAACCATACCAATTTCTGCTGTGGGCATATTGACATATCGACTGATTGCGGCAGCGATCTCCGGGGGCTGGGCAGTATGTCCGTGGGTACGTCATCCCGCCTATTCTGTAGGAACAACTGGAGGACAATCATCAGATGCTTATGACTAGATTAACTGTAAATATGTTCCATAAATCACAGCATCCAGGTCACAGCTGTCTGTGGTTTGACGGGTTGAACGTCACCACTGACGTTATTCTCAGAACGTCACGCTGTAACTATATTGGGATTGAATGTCAAAGTGTACCTGTGTTACGTGTTGTCTTGCAACTTAGAGTAGGATGTCGTGCTGCAACCTGTGTTACGTATTGTCTTGCAACTTAGAGTATACGTAGGATGTCGTGCTGCAACCTGTGTTACGTGTTGTCTTGCAACTTAGAGTATACGTAGGATGTTGTGCTGCAACCTGTGCTACGTGTTGTCTTGCAACTTAGAGTAGGATGTCGTGCTGCAACCTGTGTTACGTGTTGTCTTGCAACTTAGAGTAGGATGTCGTGCTGCAACCTGTGTTACGTATTGTCTTGCAACTTAGAGTATACGTAGGATGTCGTGCTGCAACCTGTGTTACGTATTGTCTTGACATGTAGAGCAGAATAAGTCATGCTGCAACTACTGTAATAATATAATGTATCTGTGTTATATATTGCCTTGACATGCAGAGAGTGTCGTGCTGTAACTGTATTAGGAACGACTGTCATTGTGTTCCTGTGTTAACTTGTAGAATATGTTATGTGTCATGCTGCTACTACAGGACTGCCTTGCTGTTTAATCGTCATTCATCTCATGGCTGCTTGAGCAGAACGATGTTCTTGGCTCGCTTGGTCAAGATTGAGATGAGGCCAGACTTAATTTATGTTACAGTTGAAGTCAAGGCATGTATACCTTTAAAGTTTCATGTAGTCACTTTAGCTAGATAATGGTTGAGGAACCTTCACCTCAACGTCAAGACGTGTTTATCCGTATGCTTCGTTATTTAACGCAGGAAGAGGTTCTGGAGAATCTGGGTCCCATCTATTTCAAACAGAGTGTTCTAACTCTTGTACTTTAAAACAGAAAATACCTCAGTAGAGTTTATAAAGCTAAGTCTCCTGATAGGTAGTCTCTCGTACACTCAATGGACCTCAGCTTATAATTTATTAAGAAATCCAATTCACACTCCCTTCTTGGCCCTAATGGTTCTTTCAAATGTTATGTTATTAAATCTGAAACATAACTTTGTTTCATGAACTATACAATAAGAAGTTTGCTTGACTTCCGCTGACCTTCGTCATGAAGGGATCCTTCACGAATGATGGCCATGTTGTCGGGGACTATCATTGGTGATAAATGAAGGTTAGGTTATAAACTAGGAATGTAATCACGGAACACAACATCATTTTATGGACACATTAATTCGACTCACACCCAGCGTTGCTGTTCCTGTCAAGGATCTGGGTCAGCTGATTACTAGTTCCTTATGGCAATGTCCTCTGTCTCCGGGGAATTGTCCCTAATGAGCTCATAGACCCTCGCTGACACTGCAGAGAATGACAGGGTGCTCTCCGAACACAGTTTCAAATCCGGTCCTCTTGATATCCGATAGGAAAATTAATGACCACAGACATTGATGTCTTCGACCATCAGAGGTGGATTACGGTAGACACCATAGTTGGGATAGACTTCAGGTTCCTATTCAATCAGAGTCGCTTGCTGACACTTTTCTTTGGATTGTTCCCTGTTCACTTAATATGGTTTGTGCAACTTCAGGGTTATTGTTGTGTTAATGGAAATATTGTTGCTTGCATTATATATTGATAGAAAATGTTGGTTGAGAATTGCAAATCCGTTTGTCGGGATATGAAGGGTTAATCACACTGTCAACACGGTCTACATAAGTCTACATTAAGCCAAACATCTACAGACTGAACTTACTTTTTATTATGTATGTTCGTAGCTCTTGAACATAATTTCTGAAGTACACATTTGATGAATCACAGTCATTATTGAATGATAAATGCACATGCTCTAGTTGGTAACCAAAACAAGTACAATACTTAAAGGTCACATGAGTTTATTTGTACAATATACAACATCATCAAAAATATAACACAATAGCACAATACTGAAGATATAACCACATTTATGGCACGGCCGTGGGAGACACTACTTGCCTGCAGCAACATACATGTATACCCTCCCTATACACCATGGTGCCCTTATATCCCCTGTTTGACATTCGCCATTTCAGAAAGTGTTCGCGAACACGTGATGTCATCGCTGATTATCAGTTATCTTGTCACAGTTTTGCCTTTTACATCCATTGGAATAATAGTTTTTGCAGATAATCGAGACTGATTGTTTTCTGGCCACTGAAATACATAATCATACTGATGGAAAAAAGAAACTATGTATAAGAAAGTGTTTCTCTGGAGTACTTCCCCATACATTCCACGACTAAATAACCCGGAAGATTTTAAACAAGTGTTCAAATTAGTTCTAGTTTCTACGCGGCAGTTCATTTACGTATGTATTGCTATTTATTCAATAATTTACCCACCAGCATACTCGAGCGTATTTTTTTTATTAGTTGACTCATCACTCAATCATCAGCGCAGCTGTTCAGTGCATTTTACACCATACATTTTTCAACATAAGTTAGTTTTTCTCACACACACTCTTGAGAATTTATTATAAAAACTTTAAATACTCACAATTTCTTTCGAAGAATTGAGATTGATCATTACGTAATTTACTGCATCTTTAATTCCAGACAAATGTCAACACAAAATGTTATTTTGCGATTTGGGGTTTTATCAAGCATTTCTAAAGTTTTCGACACATTTGATCAACAGCTTAATTCGTGAGCTATATTAGTATATGATTCAGCCATGGCCTTCTCGAAACAAATTTATTTATTTATTTATTTATTTATTTATTTATTTATTTATTTATATTCGTTTGTTTGTTTGTTTCGTGTAAGAACCTTGAGTATGTGAATAGTCAAACACCTTACGTGTTATCTGTATGTTTTTCACAGTGCAGCCTATCAACAGCATCAAAGAGACAACATGATATATGTTGACGTGTATTGAAGTCTGGGCTCTACATCGTCCTGGGCAACAGGATCACCGTCGACGGCGGTGTTTCCTTATCTAGACCGACAAATAACGCAATAATTCAAACGTTGCTAGACGTATAGTCATTATTCCTGACCCAACAGATTCAATTAAACCCAGCATGTCATTCACATGTAGCTGACGGTGGTTAAGCCAGTCCTGTTTCCCAATGATTCAACAGTAGATATGAGTGTTGTGTGGACACCTATGTCAAGTCATTGTGGGCTAGTCAGTTTACTGCATTCGCCAATGTACGTCGTGAAACGTAGTCGTGACTGTCGATATCTTGTAATTGGTCCGGCCATATCAAAGTCCATTAATAAACCATACCGAAAGGATGAGAGATGACTAGTCGATAATATCTAGAACGCAATAGCTTGCAAGTGGTTTCCTTAATAGGTTCGGCTATACTTTCCTTCTCAGACCTTGTGTGTTGGAAAGATTGCTCCAGGAAAACGAAAGTATGTTTTGTACACTCCATAAGAAAATTAATGTTGAATTGATATTCAACATGTTATGATTACTTTAATACCTCAACAAGATTTCAGTTTTACAAAATACGTTATTAACTTACCATCACAAATTCAGGTATTGCTAATACTATCTGTTTCTATTCCTAAAGGGGCGGTGGGGTAGCCTAATGGTTAAAGCGTTGGCTCGTCACGCCGAAGACCCGGGTTCGAATCCCCACATGGGCACAATGTGTGAAGCCCATTTCTGGTGTCCCCCGCCGTGATGTTGCTGGAATATTGCTAAAAGCGGCGTAAAACCAAACTCAGTCAGTCTATTCCTAAAGGTTATCCGTTATTATGAAAGTATGCATTTATTTTCAAATACCATATCGCCATGCGCATGTCAATTTGATTGTGTTTTGTTTACATTACAAACATTCTTAAACGATTAGAGAGAAAATGATTTCCTTGTTTTGTTTTGAACTACACCTTATATACTATATACATACAATTCAATTGTTTTTTAACAAACACATGTATCAAATAATCGAACTGTTATTTTGTTATCACAGGCTTGAGACATATATTACAAATGTGTTGATAAATTATGAATGGAATGATTGAATAATTTTTCATATAAATGCCATTTCCATATTAACATCAGTATTATTCTTTAAATACCATTCATAACATTATCAGATCGAACCCGTTATATGTGTAGACCATGCCCCTTTGAGACGTACTCTGAGTTGGGTGTGGCTGGCCCCCTTCACTGAAATCAGCTCACCAACATTTGATTTTTCGGTTTATAAGATATTTCTTTGAATCAAACATGTGACCAAAGAATCAGTAGTAATAAACCCCACTAAAGGAATAACTGAGGGTTTAACTGGTTTCTCCGTTGGAAGGCGTGGACGCATTTTAACAAATATGCCAATATAGGTAGACAGAGAACCTGTCCAACTGAATGTGTGATTGTGATGAAAATGAAAAACCGATGACATGTTGTCAAACACAGAACCATTAATGATTGATATTCTGCAAACGTACATACTTTATCATAGGTCGTTTGACATTAAATTGCAGAATTGTTCCATAGTCTAAAAATAACATTCTGCATCCGTTGCATGTCATGTTTGCACAAATATTTAATGAACTAAAATGGGGTATAACCATGAAATCAATAATAACAATCAACTGCTAGTTTGTGCGTTCCTGTATGACTTTAAAACCATTTCATCTGCCGGTGAAGGAGGTTTAATCAGCAGTTTTGAGGTAACTGTTCCGTTCCCGTATAAATTCTCGCTGAGACGTCTCCGCTCAGACGGCGACCTTTGCAACGTCGCGGACGGCCTTGAGACGGAGTAGTTTGTTTTTGTATTTGGGGGTTCACACAGACACTGTAGACAAAACACACAACAGTTTGGTTCCTCTTCGTTCAAAGGAGTTTTAACATTTTGTATATTTTTTTGGTCAATCCTTAGAATGCATTTTATGGCATTTACGATCTTCCATACAAGCTCTCTTCTAAATAAGATATAAACCCAGGGATCCAGTATAGGATTGAATGAAGCGAAGCGGATCAGCAGAAGACCCATTTTGTCCGTCTTCATTAAAGTGACCAGGTCTGTCTGGCACAGAAGCACATAAATCTGAAAATAGAAATGAAAGATTTTAGAGCATGCATACGTGTGTACATTACAAATGTCAGTATTCCATTTTGTCATGAGTACTCAACATGCTTGTCACAACAGAAGATAATGAAGATCCCGAGGCTTCCTTTTTTAACCTCGCTGATCAATGCTCATTCAATCCTTTGGTTTGAGGGGTAAACCTTGTCGAACCCCTTGAGCGATTACATACAGGATGAATGACGCATATACTAGCCGAAAAAGGAAACTGTGCTCAATATGAAGCGTAATAAATATTTATAAGGAGGTTGAAATTATACAATGTATCATTTAAAAACACTCATGAAGATAACTCTTCCATTTGGGGTTGTGATTCCCTACTTGAATGTGCATTTTATTGCATGACACTGGGTTTTGGTGTTTGTCGTGAGCATGATACTCGTACACGTGGTAAATGGTCACAATAAAGACACTTGTTTAGCCATCAGTGCTTGCAGAATACTTCAGGGTAACTGTAAACTACGCTGACTGACTGGCTACTAAGGTCTACCGTATTCGGTTGGTGCATTAGCCAAACTGCTCGGACAATTTCTTGAGACCAGATTAGTGGTGGAACCCTACGCAACTGGTTGAGGTATGTCACCCAATTGTCACGATACAATTCAGAAGATCGATCAGGACAGACGAACAAATATTTTTTGTGCAGTTATTGTTTTGCAGATTTTAGCCTAAGTGCAAATAATTTCAGAAAAAAACACCCATGGTGTATGTCTCCCTCTTTCAAATAGCACATTTAAAATAACACAAAAAAACCCACAATTAAAATTGGCTCTGGGTTAAACAGCTATTATGCAGCCCACCCGGACGTGGTTCTACTTAAATCCTGTTCTCCTTGAACGTCGGTTACCACGGAATGACTTAGCGAGTAGTGGGCTGTGTAAACACGAACCATGTAAGTAGGCTAGCTTGTGGGTCATAGCGTCGACATGTCACTATCGAGAGTGCTCCCATATCCAAGTTTACATAAACAGCTTACTTGTTCGTGTTGCATTCAAGGTTGGAAAACCTCCCTGGCAAGAGAAGTGTATCAAACCTGCTGCTCTCGACTACTTGCTTGGATATCGAGGAGTTCAGTCCAGTGCGCGCGCGTGTTATCCATTACTCCAACTAGATAGAACGGCCTGTAAATATTCCAATCTGGACTTGACAATCAAGTGATTTTACAGCATGCAGTCACCCCTGATGTATTTTCCCAGGTGTATCCTTTCAGTTTTAAAGTAAACAAATGGTTTAAGAAATGTACCTGATATGTGTTTGATCTTTAAAGGATTTCTAACTAAGCAATACAAATTATTCAACATAGTATGATAGTTTTTCAAAAAGTCATTAGGCGGCCAATTGATCTTTATAAAGAGGGGTATCCTCCCATTAGTCAGACAACCCATTTTAGTTAGACACTTGAAAGCCCCAATTACATGTTTGAGTGTACAAATTTGGCAAGGCTGTTACCCATTGGGGAAATAGACTAATCCAACTTTTACCCCTTTAGTCAGACAGAAAGTGGAGACTGAGATCAGATTAGGCTAGTTTTATTAATATCTTTTATATGATATTTACCCACATTCAATATCTTTTGTAATTTTCATAATATTTGTCACTTTGTCATAATATCACATGCATATAAGTAAAATTGTCACATTTACTAGCACTGCTGGCACAGTATGGAGGTGCAAAGGCAAAGTAAAGTGCACATCATTCACTGGTACACTCAGGGCACCGACACTGGCATATGAATACACCATGTCTTTTGGGACGGATTCATATTCGCCGTCAAGATGGGCACTATATTTATCTAACCTGTGACTCATGATTATTTTGCATCGATCTACGTTTTTCAACCAAAGCTCAGCAAACAACTGGTTTGTTATATTTCTGCTCTGTTTCTGTGTATTTTAGACAAAATGCCGCTCTTGTTTGATTGTCATTTCACTGTAGCAATGGTTACTCCCACAAGGCAAGCAAATCATTTATCTTTTGCAGTTGCCATGAAATTTGGAACAGGAACTAAACAATTGATTGTAATTCAAATTTTCTTGAATAAAATACGTGCTGGAAACCATCAAACGGGTAGGCGCCTCGAGAAGTCAAAAATAGCATATGTGCACAATTGTTATTTGTAATTGGCAGTAGCATTTCATTAGGCATGTAGATGAAAAATATGGTAATTGGTGTTTCGTAAATGGCACCATAAGGAATGGCAAACACGTCAGTTTATTGTACTCAGTGTGCCAGAATGGCTAGAGTTTCAAACAGTAGTATATATTTACCATAACTTCTGATTAACTGTATACGATTTCACCTCATAATCACACCACACGTGGCGTTCAACCCCTATTCCACCTCACCCACTCAGTGATTTGGATGTGACGCTATAACCTATTTCACCTAATCTCACCCACCTGAATATATACACGTAAGATTAAAACCCATTTCAACCCCTCATTCTCCCCAATCCCGACTCTCATGTAGTTTTATACATGCTGCATTAAAACAACGCACATTCACTTAATTATATACATGCTGCGCGAAACACCATTTCACCTCACCTCACCTCACCTCACCTCATTATATATACGCGGCACTAAACCCCATTTCACCTGACCTCACCTCACTCATCTAATTATACTCGTATATACGCTGTACTAAACCCCATTTCACCTTTACGACATTAACGCGACATCAAACCCAATTTCACCTGTCCTCACCTCACTCATCTAATTATACTCGTATATACGCTGTACTCAACCCCATTTCACCTTTACGACATTAACGCGACATTAAACCCCATTTCACCTCACCTCACCTCACTCATCTAATTATATTCGTATATCCGTTGTACTAAACCCCATTTCATCTTTACGACATTAACGCGACATTAAACCCAATTTCACCTGACGTCAACCACTCAATTACATACACTCGTGGTTAAACCCCTTTCGCTTCAACCACTTGAATATCATCACACACGAGACGCTAAACTCTAGTTCATGTTACCGAACCCTCATATTTATCTTTTCTGAAAAATAATTCTTAATCGTAGGTTGCCGGTTTATCAGATCGCCTTTAATTTTATTTACTTAAAGTTGTGATGATATTGATTTACAATGAACATAAATTTCTTACCACCAAAAGTTTCACCACTTTTCAGTTAGGGAAATAGTGTTATTCACGTATAATTTACATACGTATCAGTTGCATAAAATACACAGTTGTCATCATATAGCGTTCACAGCGTATACTGTAACACAGATCAGTGCATGAATATCTTAGTGTTATACCGTGATGCCTATTACAAAGTTTCAGCTGTACATATCCAGGTACATTAATCGAAGCGAAGAGACGAGGAGCGAGTGATTAAGTATGATTTTACGTCGTTTTGATAGTACCACTTACTTATGTAACTGATGGCGACATCAGTCATGTTCATCACTCAATTTACCCATACCACGTAGGGAATCGATCCCGGCTATTTTGGCATTACAAGCGAAGGATAAACCACCCTTTAGACTAAACCCGACCCTTAATGGCAGAGGACGCTGTGACTATACGTCTACACATATACACGTTCATATATGTCTTACTCCAGTTAATCGGCATTCAGCCCTTAATGCCTTGAGTGAATGTGTTTTAGTTGTACGCCGCCTTTAGCAACATCAAAGCAATATCACAGCGGGGGACACCAGAAATGGGCTTCACACATTGTACCCATGTGAGGAATCGAACCCGGGCTTTCGGCGTGACGAGCGAACGCTTTAACCACTAGGCTACCCCACCACCCCCTTAATGCTTGGACGTTTGTAAGGGCCATGAAGTAGCCGAAGATCAAGCGTTTGTCCGTGATGTCGACGGACCGGGTTCGAGTCTCCACATGGGTACAAACTGTGAAGCCCATTGCTGATGTTCCCCGCCGTAATGTTGCTGGAATATTGCTTCAGGCGGAGTTGAACCTCACTCACACACTCGAATCTTTACCTAAATACGTTTATTTCAGATCTTTGACATACCACTTTATTTATTTGTTTATCATGTTTATCAGTCCCACAGTTAATTGTTACACTATTCATACATAGACAATGACCTCGCCCACAGCCCGTACTTCTACAATGAAATAGGACCCAAGTCTCTCTTTGCACGCATTATCAACATGATACTGTTACATATGTTTAAGGAAGCAGCGCGTGAACGTTAATAGATTTCCAATGTTCTATCTGTTCCTACCGAGGGCAGAGTTGCTTCAGGTGTGGATATTGAATGCTGAGTTAAACCTTCCCGTGTTGTAAAATAATACACCTGTTACTTTTTTCCAGATTGTTTCTTCACAAAATATTTTCCCAATTACTGCTACAGGGAAACGATTTTGTGTTTATTGTTTAAACGCACAGATAAGCTTTAATTCTGTCGCAAGTGCACAGAAGCACAAGAATAAATCCATAAGAACAAACATGAGACTTGGCCAAGTACGTAACATGGCTTGTTTAATCATAATATCGCTACACAAACGATATATTATCAGATGTGTTCAACATCAGCTGAATATTGATGATCACAACCGCCATTGTAACCTTTAAGTTGTGTTGAACTGTTTCTTGCAAACAAAGGTACTTGTTTAGTCTGTTTGTTTTACCCTGGCGTCGAACAATGGAGAATTCATTACATTACGACATATTGAAGTATTTCTGTCGATTGATGGCAGGTTTTGGAGCATGCCCGGAGTGGTTAACTACCTGCCGTGAGGAGCAGCCAGTATTCACCCGGGAGAGAAGTACTTAAATGAATGTGACGCGAGTGGTTGGACACGACTTTCATTGCACTGTGAGCAACGGTTTTGTTTCCTAACAAATCATTTTTTTAGATAGACGCAAATAGACGCTAAATCAAACGCACGACATATAATATCATTATAACTGAAATTGGCAACTCTGAACCTTTTTACATTAGATAGCTCGGATCGCGTACACAACCTGTAACTTGGCTGCCGTTGTGCATATGGTTAATAAATAAAAGTTATTATCTGATTGTATAGAGGCCGACTTCGTGTTTGAACTACTTTGGATTTGTTTTGTTGCCTGACGTCGCTCTTAACAATATTGCGCCGGTGTGACGACGGATAGTAAATGGACGGCTGGATCAGACAATCCGATGACTGATAACATGGGCATCATTCAACACCATCGGGTACGAGGTCATCCAGTTTATCCTGGTCATGTCCACCCAATCCGTTAAGTCGTCTTTTACGACCATGGTTCCGATCCACAAGGCTTCCGTAACGTAACGACCTATCGTAGCTGTACAGGGCCTAGATTTGGAAGCTCTCTTAGCGCTAAGATAGTCGTAAGTTAATGTTAGGGTATTTGGTACTTACGACTATCTTAGCGCTAAGGGAGCTTCGAAAATCTAGGCCCAGCTGTTTGCCATGTCGTAACGCAAAGATTGCTTTGTTCGATCGGGACCCAGAATCGGTTCCTGGCTCCATTCAAACCTGACAGACAAATGGTGTAAACCTTGCATACCGACAAGCTATTCTTTGAATAAACATTGCGTTAGGACACGCAATACTAAGCATCAATTGGACGCCGGTAGCTACTGCCGGTTACTTTAACTTTACTCATTTCTCTACGAACTGAACTCCACACGTGAGTATTTCGATGTACACTGATTGGTGAGTGTAAAACTACTCTTTATGTTTTTATGATCCCTGCCTTTTATTTTAACACTGATACGACTAGAAATACACAAAGACGCTGAAGTTTGTGATTTACGAGGAGATATCACAACGTTTAGAAAATGCGTCTGCCATATCCAGGTTGTTGTTAAGTGTGAAATAAATACATAGGTGTTGCTGAGCCACTGACGAGAGGTTGTCGTGTTTCAGTCTACTGGCTTGCTGATAAATGACTTCGTCTCTGAAATGTAACTGCTTAGCATTGAAATGAGGAAAGGCTGAGTATAGAGAAGTCATAATATTTTTACGGTGCAGAGTTAATCCTCAATGTGCATTGATAAACGGTTGCATGTTCTTTGCAAAGGCATAATTTTTTTATGTGTTTCACGTAGCCACAAAAAATCTGAACATGGGTCGGTAGCTCGGGAATAAATACTTAATAAATTCAAAATTATCTGAATAATGTTCTTGATTCTCATTTACAGAAATTCCTAAATTTCTCGCGTTCTTTGGACTTGTGGCAGCGACTGATAAGATAAAATAAACAATTTATATGACGAGGCGGTACGTACTATTTTAGGTTCGACTCGGCGGTGTTGGAATGAAAAAAATAGTTGGGAGGGTCGGCAATAATATTAGAAGGGTCGGTCGGGCGATGAGAAACACAGAAAAATATTGCTGCCCTAATTACTGTCAAACATTGCCTGCATATACCACAACTGAACATTAAACACTGGATGGTGCCTGACGGAATCCTACACCTACAGTGTCACGTTATCCAGATGCAATCGCAACGCAGTGGGTTACCCCTTAGGCTAAAGACAAGTGATTAGACTGGGCTCAGTCACCATGCTCCTGGGAACAAACAAGAATGCATGGAGTGTAAATACTTTGGGTATGTCAACACTAGGAAGTTTAAAGAAACCAGGTCCGTATAGAAAGTTATTGTCGAGTTCTCTTTTCAGCTTTCTGCACAGGAAACAACTGAAAACGGGGAATATTATGCCAACTACTTGCAGAGATTGTGAAAGTCTTTAAACGTTAATGATGTTGCAATGGCTCCTGAACAGAAATGTGGAGCTATACCGTTCAGGTTGTTGCCACATCTAACCACCATCTAAAGGAATGCCACCTATTTCAAGAGGTGGTGTGGTAGCCTAGTGGTGAAAGCGTCCGCTTGTCACGCCGAAGACCGGGTTCGATTCCCCACACAGGTACAGTGTGTGAAGCCCATTTCTGGTGTCCACCGCCGTGATATTGCTGGAGTATTTCTTAAAGCGGCGTGAAACTAAACTCACTCACTCACCTATTTCAAATTGATCAAAGTGGTATACGCCTGAGGCCAACTATACTTCGGGTAAACAAACTGACCCGCTGTCAAATACTGTACAAAGCGGCGTCAAGCAGTCACTCACCCACCCACTCATTAACCGTATTCCCCACACAACAGAACGTTAAATTAAATTTCAAAGTAACATATGATAATCTCACCATCAATCGTTTCGGCAAGTAATGACATAAATGGAGAATACATGTTTTCTTACACACACTATTCCTCTTTTTATTGCAAGCGCTAGACCGCCTCCGTGGTGTAGTGGTTAGAGCGTCCGCCCGGAGAATGGAGGATCGCGGGTTCGATCCCCGACCGCGTCATACCAAAAGACGTAAAATATGGTACTTGTTGGTCACTGTCTGGCACTCGGCATTTATGGGTACAACAAGGACTGGTCGGCTCGGAGTCAGTATAATGTGTCTGAGTGGGGTATTCATGCTTCACTGCGTCATGGAATCTCAGTGGGCAAGCACTATAAAACCAGATTTAGTCTGGGCTAGTACAAGCAGCCACACATACACATGCATGCACGTCGTCTTATGAGCGAAAGATTCTTAAGTGCGACGTTAAACCCCATTTCACTTCACTTATTGCAAGCAATACGATACATTGTGTTATCAGTATCGTGCACTTTTGCGTACACAAATAGATCGATTGATTTGGTAACTGAATCACAAGGAACCCAATGACAGATTAGTTGGGTAATTAAAAAGGCAATTCATATGAAATTAAATTCTTATCAAGTCTATGGGGCCAATAAACATAATGTTATTGATATTACGGTTATAGCCAACGGGACTCGTGTCTCCCTTACATGTTTATGTGAAATGTATCTCACCCTGCAGGTAAAGTTGTTCAGAACGCGAGACTTTAATCAACTATTTTGTGAGTAATAAAGTGAACCTTTAGCTTGTAAACGGAATCTTCACCGAAACGTCACTCTGTGCAATAAACAAGGAATTGTCATCCACAAAGTGGTATGCGTTATTATTGACTCCGCAACTTTTTGAATGCAAATCAGAACAGTTATTTTGTCTGTGTGAAGAATCAGTTCTTGTTGGACTACTGGACTGATGATCCGGTAACAGAATCAACTCACATGTGTAAAACTATTAACTGTAACTGGGATGGTCAACGATACTTTGAACAGTATGTCCCGACCAAAGTGATAAAAGCAGGTGAACTGGGTTGATATCAAAGGTTTCTGGATCGCCCAAGGGACGAATTATGCACAACCAATAATGACTCGGAGAGATGGGTAACCATTAATATGGAATTAATAATTATGCATGCACATTGTTGAGAACAGTTTGTTACAAATAATTTACACCATTATCTTATCCCTTAATGACAACAGGTTGTGTGAGGGTCATGGTGCCCGAGCATCAACAGCAGTACGACGTTTTATTCACTAACGCACATCAAACGTGAACCTTAACTAATATAAGTAACATAACTAATATAATCAAAATTGGGTTGATGCCTGTCATCATATCCCAATTGCGAAAATAGATGCTCACCATGTCAGTCATTGGATTGTCTAGTCGAGACGCCGTCATACAGCTGGAATATCGCTGAGTGCAGCGTTAAACACCAAATAAACCCTAAATGTACCCCAACTCACCCAAGTGAGATAATGTTGGTACTTACCATCAGCGGAAAGTAGCAGCTTGCAAAGACAACAGTAATTCCAATGAGGAGTACCACCATCTGAATCTCGGCGTACCTCTTGTTTTTGCTCTTAAACTTCCTTGTGTTCCCACCTGAGGCATTGAGTATGTCTTGTTTTTTCCTGATCCTTATGAGAGTGTATATTACAACTATATTACAAATGATGGTCACGAATATAGCGATTAAAGCTATAAGGGCATAGAACAAATTGAAGGCAATATTTACAGGTTCCTTGCTCAAGTAGTCAAAGAAGCACCATGTTTTTGGATACTGGTATATATTTTTTCCAAATCCCATTAGAGGAAACGAGGCAATCAATATTGATAACACCCAGGAACCTATAAGTGTGACTTTAGCATATGTCGCTGTGAGCCTTGTGTGGTACAGATACGGATGTCGGACACAGATGTATCGCTCAACTGCCATTGAGGTAACGATGAACAGTGTAGTGAAACTGGCAAATATCATCATGAAGGAGAAGTAATGACAGACGGGCATGCCACCTATCCACTTGAAATTATTCACATATACAGATATCACAACAGGTGACAGAGCACACGTCCCGAACAGATCCGTGACAGCTAATCCCGCGACCAGTTTGTAAAACAAGGTCCTTCTTTGCTCAATGGCAGACGTTGCAAGGACGAAGAGGGCCAGGAGATTGCCGAAGACCCCGGTGCCAAACATGACGCTGGCAACCATTACGGTGTGGTTCCGTTTGGCAGCGTCCACTACATAGCCTCCGACACTGATATTTGCTCCTATTCCTTCAGTGTCATTGATCAGAAGCAGTTGCTTCTCCGACATGGTGTACTGTTCCGAAGTCGTCGCCATGACATCACCCGAGACCAACATTAGAAAGCGCACATTTATCACACAGCTTGACTGTTCACAAACATTTTATGACCTTCGCTGTCAGGTGTATATCCCCTAACCCTCAGCCAGGAAATGTTTTCACTTTGCCGGAGATAAGGTTACCCATACACACATACATTAAGTATTCTATCCTTAGTAGTTTAGCTGCTGTATCCTCACATATCCAAGTATCCAGTTTATCAGGCGTGGAATATAAAATATATAACTACACAAACATATCTTCCTGGGTATTCCACTGCAGCTTTTTCATTTACAAATCCACAATCACAGGACTGTTTGGCGTGAATGTAACTGTCGTCTGCTCGTCAGACGTCAGTGCGCATGCCACGATCTCCTTTCGGTGAAATTTCCCGAGGCGTGTTGAGCTTGGTGACCGTCAATCAATGTTGTTTAACACACTGTACTCATATCCTGAAATCAGAGAGTCGATTAATTAGAACAGATGTCCCGTGGCAAAAAGTTTCGTTTCAACATTGCGAGCAGTCTGTCATGTAAATATAATGATTAACTCACCCTTCAACCTATCATTACATGAATTCGATGAGATGTAAGTTTCACTGTAGTCTAAATTCCTCACAAAAAAACCCTAAATATTATTGATTCTTTGATCTTACAGAGAACCTTTCAGAAATGTTTTCGGTTAAACAATAGTTGTGTATGATATAAACCTAAACATAACATCTTCTAGCAACAGCCTAGGGGCGTTCATGATGTGACGTAAAACCTCTGAAATTCAAGTTTCAGTATATCTGTTTATATTTACTGGGATAGTTAGCAAACTGTTTCACGGTCCGGGACATCTTGATTACCATGCTAGAAGGAGGTTGTTCAATAGCACAGCATGTTACATGTATGTAGATATGGATACATGACATTGTGTAAAAAACGTAACAATGTCGTTTGAAATAGATATCAATTATTTGACAACATTATGACGGGTAACCACGGGCGATCACTTTTAAACATCAAGAGCGCGTCATGGAAAGAAACCGGACTCAACCCAGCTTGGAGGCTGCTTGTCATGAATAATTACAGGATTAATCATAATCCTTGAGATATTATCACAACCATGAGGTAATAATTATGTTAGTTGATGCCTTGGGAGTTTAGCGCAGACTTCATCAAGTAGTTATGAACAGATAAATTCGTAATCTGTTCAGTAAATGTTGGGCGTTTGAGTGGGTTATAACGCTTGGACCGCAGCCCATAGTTAGACATGAAACGACACTTCATGATCAAAGATGTCTTCTGTATTGGTTTTCAATATAACCCATTCTTCAAAATCCGGGTTCTTCCGTAACCAATGCTTGTTGTAAGAGACGACTAACGGGATCGGGCGGTCAGGCTCGCTGACTTGGAGACTCATGTCATCGTATACCAAATACGTAGATGCTCATGCTGTTGATCATAGGATTGTCTGGTCATGATACGGTTATTTACAGACCGCCGCCATATACCTCGGGTATTGCTAAATTCGGCGTTAAAGAACAACAACAATAAATAAAAAACAACGGCGTGGATACATACCAACCGACATTGTGTTGCGTTTTAAAGTTAAAAATCATACAAGAGACGCCAAAACGGAACAATGGCGACTATTCCTCTTAAGACCTAGTGTACTGTAAGACAGCAATATATGTACTGGTTACACTAACAGGAAAGGTATGTGTCAGGATATGCTACGATAGTACGGCTGAAGTGAAGAAACTAGACTTTAAGCTTCAATTCCGTGAAATTACGCCTAACAAAGCAGAAACCGGATATTTCTATATTCAATCTAGCTGGTCCGTGGTGACCTTCACTGTATCAGGCGACTGACTTGAATTCCTGGAACGTACATTTGACGCCATCACATTTTTTGTGGCTATGGAAAGGCTTTTGTCTCTTATTCTACTACCATGATCTGCTGGGTTATGTTTATGAACACGGGTTCTATAGGTTCAGCGTATATTTCAGTGAGTGTCTATTACGTTAATCGATAAGTTATCTCACTGCATGTACAAAGCGAACATGATATGCTGTAACCTAAACATGTTGGTTTTTTCACGGATATAAATAACATGAAAATGATCACAATGTTATACACGTAATGTCTGATGTCTCACATGTCATATAATATGATTTATTCTTGACGTAATACTCCGTGTTTTGCAAATATACTACTCAAAGTTCGTTAAGGACCACCATTTTAAAATGTAATACGTCAAATGATGTGCATATCATGAACAAGCCAAACACGATATTATAATTCTTATGGGCATTTTTCAAGACACGAACGAAAGTAAATTCACTGGCAACTCCCAGTTACTCGTATGTGATCCACGTGATGCGATGACAGCCTCGCGCCGTCGTCTAAAGCGTCCAGTGTGTGTCTTGATAGTTATAAGAGTGTTGCACTCTTCAGTAGCAGCCTTGCTGCATTCTTGTAAAGTATCATGAAGGACATGCCTTCGTGAGAGACGATCTGCAGGCGAAAAAGGCAAGATCACTCCACTCTTTAGTAGCAGCCTTGCTGCATTCCTGTAAAGTATCATGAAGGACATGCCTTCGTGAGAGACGATCTGCAGGCAAGGGCAAGATCACTCCACTCTTCAGTAACAGCCTTGCTGCATTCCTGTAAAGTATCATGAAGGACATGCCTTCGTGAGAGACGATCTGCAGGCAAAGGCAAGATCACTCCACTCTTCAGTAACAGCCTTGCTGCATTCCTGTAAAGTATCATGAAGGACATGCCTTCGTGAGAGACGATCTGCAGGCAAAGGCAAGATTGTTCCACTCTTCAGTAAGAGCATTGCCGCATTCCTGTTAAGTTTCAGGAGGGGCAAACCTTCGCTTGAAACGATTATAATCGATTATGTATATCATGTTTGTACAGGTATGTTACTTTAAAAATAGAACAGATGTATGGGCAACAGCTACACAACTACGTCCTATATTGGTACACAAGTAAAGACGGTGTCATTTCATTAGTTGGTTTTACTGTCATCTTCTTCTAAGAAACGTCTATCGAACAAAATGTCACTAGCAATATGTTCAGCACCAAGAATAACATGACCTATAACGTTTTACACCTTATCAACATATGCATCTTTTTTTAAGATCCCTTATAAAACAAGTGTTTCCCTGCATTCTGTATGTGTGCGTGCGTGAGTGTGTGTCTGTATTTTCATTACAACTATTCTGATTGCATGTATTTAGTCAGGGTCTTATCATCAAACAGAATCAAATGTTCACTTGTCCATGTGACTGTTTACTCCAATTTGACCTGCTAAATTTCCACTTCCCACGCAAGACAATAAACTCTTTAATATTTCATGAGTCATTGGTGAGGAACCCGTGAAGATCCGGGTTAGAATTAGTCTTCAGGAAACCATGTTTGTCATAAAAGGCGACTAACGGGATCGGGTGGTCAGGCCCGCTCACTTGTTTGACACATGTCATCGTATCGTATCCCAATTGTGTAGATCGACACTCATGAGGTTGATCACTGGACTGTCTGGTCCAGACTCGATTATTTACAGACCGCCGCCATATAGCTGGAATATTGATGCGTTAAGCAACAAACAAATAAACAATAAACAAGTTAAAAACCCTTTTGACAGATCTGTCAAAGACATGATTGAAGACATATGGCGTGAGGTATGATGCTCCAGCACAGCACCAAGCGTTAAGTAGAAAAGTACAAACACCGTAATATGTACCTCTTTGTCTCTATAGACATACTTGAATAAATGACTTCAAGTCGTGGAGGTATAAAACATGTAGAGAGAATAGAATTTTATCACCGAATATGGGTGTACACTGTAAACGTTTGCACAAACCTCCCGGGCAACACAGAAGTGTTGTTTAGAAGAGATTTTGCAGTCCTTGAGAATGGATCTTACATTTCAGTTAAAACATATGCAACAGGTATCCTGATACATAATAATCCGTTGTTAAATGTTATGATAATATAAGAGATATATGGCTCTCCAGATCTGTCATAAACCACCGCCCTTTATTGTGTACAAATACACAGCTTGGATTAGTGTAATTGGATTGTTGTCAACAAGAAATATATTGTCAAATATTCACATCTATGTTAAACTAAACAAAACGTATGGAAGTCACGCGACATGTATTTTCAAACACACAAATGAAACTAACTTCTATGCATTGATCAATACTTGTATCAGCTAGTCCACGTGCACACTCTCATGTAATCCCCGCAAAGGTTGGTTCAGGGATCAAATGTGTTAGACCATATAGGTCAGCGCACATCCGGATATAATATTCACTATCAAAATGACAGTCAGATATACTCACCCCAACACCGTAAGTCATACACCGAGACAAGGTGTAGTTGAGTAAGCAAGAATTAAATTTTTCTTCCGTGTACCAGTGCTCTCTCATTCGTTTTGCATCAACGATTTCTTTTCAGTCAGTAATCATCGACTGGTTATCGCAAGCAAACGAATCTGATAACTGTAATTATGCCATATACCAATCTAGGCTGAAAACCGTGTCAACAAAGTGAACCAACTCACCCAGTGCTCACCTGAGACTGTCACAGACAAGGCATCAGGACATGAAACTCTTACCGTCAAATCACACGAATCAAGGCGACCAAATCATGCTGTGCATAGCTCTCTAGCAGAGCTTCTGTATGAAGATCCTGGTCGTGATGAATACCTGTAACGTATTCCTTTCATCGTAGTGAGCGTTTGTTGATGATCACTGCGGCGTAGAAATCGATTAGAGTCTGATAATACTGCTCCGATTGTGAATAGAGGGGCTCCCATAGGAGTCGGTTTAAGTGCTCACTGACTACAACTCTGAACCCTATCCATAACCTTCAGTATTTGCACAGCAAGGTCACCTGAGCTCTAGGTCGTGTCAGCATGTAACGGTGTCGGAATGACGGTCCTAATTGTTTGGCTATGGTCGTCTCGGCATTTCTCGGCTGTAAACTATGCCCACCGACACAGTTATGTATACGGGGGTATAAGCTGCACGTGCACGAGCTACTGTTCTAATATGTAGGTGCATGTTAATCAGAAGAACACTGTACACCTTTTGACGTTTAAAGCATCGTGAGGCCCCTTCAGTGAGGGAGCATTACCTTTCAGATGAGTATGGAGGGGAACATATCTTTGGTATTTAAATTAACACGTTAAGCCGGGCTGCTAGGTTTAAGTGAGTGAGTGAGTGAGTGAGTGAGTTTAGTTTTACGCCGCACTCAGCAATATTCCAGCTATATGGCGGCGGTCTGTAAATAATCGAGCCTAGACCAGACAATCCAGGGATCAACAGCATGAACATCGATCTACGCAATTGGGATACGATGACATGTGTCATCTACATCACAACACAACACACCCAAATATATACTACACATTACAAACAAGTTCATACCCTAATAGCTACTCGTTCATATTACAACACAACACATGCATATTTCAACACAACCCATATATACACTAGAGCGCAACCCTTAAATATTTGAACACTGTTCACATGTGCTAGAAAGAAACCAACCAATCATAATACAAGGCATGCATATACCACGCACGGAACTCTAGGTCTCCATATCCACATACATCGACACCACCAATACACATACAACACAGCTAATCCACACTTAACGATTCAACATATCCATAAAACATTACTAGTAGAATTTTATTATACTATTATTATCCGAATACAATTAGACTCATCAATGCCATCAGAATGCGTGGCTATCAGGGTGCCGTTCCACCAACCGATCTTATCTAAGATCAATCTTAGCAAGTTACGCCAATTTTACAATCGTCTTAGCTAAAAGTTACACCCATTCCACTAACCGATCTTAGGCCGATCGTAGCTGGTCCCGATCTTACGATCCGATCCAAGCTTAGGTCGAGACTCTTTCGTGCGAGAGATAGAGGAATGCGAGGCACGAGTTATCTCCATTTGCATAGTCTAGCAAATGATAGAAAGTAATTTACGAACCAACTGAGTGAGTGAGTGAGTTTAGATTTACGCCGCACTCAGCAATAGTCCAGCTATATGGCGGCGGTCTGTAAATAATCTAGCTAATATGCATAGCGTTCACTAACATGAGCGTTCATGTTAGTGAACGCTATGTATCTTAGCTATAAATAATCGAGTCTGGACCAGACAATCCAGTGATCAACAGCATGCGCATCGATCTGCGCAGTTGGGAAACGATGACATGTGTCAACCAAGTCAGCGAGCCTGACCACCCGATCCCGTTAGTGGCCTCTTACGACAGGCATGGGTTATTGAAGTTCAATATTCTAACCCGGGCCTTCATGGGTATTTTTCCAACCAATTGTAAACGTGGAGAAAAAACCCAGAGCAAAATATTAGGGTAGTGAGCACCTTGGTTTCAGGTGCAAGTGTGTGAGAACGCATAATATAATAATAATATATGCATATTTATAGTGCGCCTATTCCACATCCTTGGGCATGCTCAAAGCGCAGTGTACAGATAATTTACACGAGAATATTTACAGCCGAGATTATAAGTAATATACTGAGAACAGGTTTTAAGTCTGGACTTTAAAAATGTCAGTTGTGTCAGAGCTTTTAATATGTGCCTGAACCTTGTTAATCAGAATAAACAAGGCGCGACGAGGCTATAACGTATGTAGAATCTGTCAGTGGTCTTGAATAACACGCGACCTGCCTTTAGAATCCCCCACCAAATATGCGCAGTGAAATCAAGCATATTTGTATCTTTTTGCTTCAGAACATTGTTCCGATATGGCTGAAATATTGCCGATGTGACTTTAAATCTTAACTCACTCACTCACTCAGAACATTGTTCACTTCACGGCTGTCCCTATTCTTAACCATGACGTTGCAATATTGTTGTACAAATGAGTTACACCTACTCGCTCGGTTATGTTCCCATGACGACAATGGTCAGACTGGCCTGACATTTTGTAAGGCTTCAGTGATCATACCCTCATATTTGCCGGACAGCTGATGTGATGATAACGAATTAAGAGTAACGGTCCGCTAGTTTGCCGGCTATAGTCTGTTTTCAGTGATTACTTGTCACCCATAGGCCTTTGGCGGACATGAGCGTTTGGCAGACTGAGTTCGAAATCATTAATTACAAGGCACCAATTTGTTTTGACTGAACACGATTTCTAGTAACTGATTTTAGTTAAATCGAATTATATTAGCCGAATTGAGTGAAGCTTATTCCAATGATTATTTCTGAAGTTTTGCCTGTATATAAAGAATGTAGACATGGTTCGCTCATTGCAAAATGGCACACGCTCAAATTAACATTCCAAATTCGAGGGAGGTAGGTTGACACTTAATCTATCTAGGTCACAAGTTAAGGGTTAAGAGCACAAAAATGGACCGAGTTCATTTGAAATGTTGTAAGACAGGTTGTCTGTCCTGTAACGGCCAACACCGTCAGTGATGTTCTCAGCAGTTCCAGGAATATACACAACCACCATCAAAGACCAAGTTCAGTTCAGAAAATAGTTATGCATATTTATTTATGTCTTTAGTTACCATTTTTTTGTTTTCTGAAAATGTACGAAACATGTATTTATGAATTTTATAATGAGGATAAAATGTACCCAAAATGTTGAATTGGTGAAACATGAAATATCGAGATGAAGCTACAGTGTGTACTTTCTTAGGCCGAAACAGACTATAAGTTAATACCCTATTGTTTAAAGTATTATCGCGCATCAGCGAATTTTTATCTATAACAAAAGCGTCCGGCAAAACGGGAACCCCCCGCTTCAGTGCAGTGTTTGTTTACATCACAGAAATATACAAATTCATTTCATGGGGGACTTTAGGGGACGCTCACGGTGAAATGCTCGCTCTTATTTTTCACATAGAATAAGAAAGCCACCATTTTGGTTTCTCTACGATTGATTTTAGCTATCCTAAGTTGGTCATGAGCAACTTAGACTTTGAATCTTAACTTTACGATTGACTTAGATTAAGATTGGTTAGTGGAACGGTATGCCGATCGTAACGTCACGCTAAGATTGGGATTTTAGGGGTTTACGATTGGCATAGGGCTAAGATCGGTTAGTGGAACGGCACCCAGATATCGCAAAAACCATTCACCTCAATATCGAAATCAGTTTCAGTGAATACATGTTGATTGCAAATCCATTGAATTCAGAAAATGCATTTTAAATCACTTCATCAACAAATTAAAGCGCTCCGTTGAGAGGCAATCAGTAAATCATTAAGTCTACACGAATTTGCAAATAACTCGATTCCGATTGGTTAGTTAGAGGTATCAAATGTCAATATCCACCTCTGATTGAAAGGAAAGATTTGACGGCCGAGTCACAGCGTAAGAGAATTATAGGGTGTGCTCAAAGCCGGAAAGTAATTATATAACAGTTCTAGGCTACAAAACGGAGTGAGTGACAATAAATTTGGTGAAGAATGTAGTTCAGGTCTCGCATGGCATTTGGCGTTTTCTATATACATCTGTGACGTCATATCGTTTACGTCACAATGAGTGATATAGACTCATAAAAATGAAGTTCGAGGCAGACCGCAATAGTGTAAAGTTTGCTTATAACTGTAGTGGTGCCCACTTCCTGACAGCTTACGGTTGCTTTGCTGTAAAGCCTGTCATACGTCCGAGTAAAGTGTTACAGACAAAACATTCAAAACTATGGAATCGTAGAAGGGGCATTGTCGCGCTGTCGCACTTTGGTTTATTTTGACACTTTTTTGCTTGTCCCTTCTATAATTCCGTAAAACACTGGACACAACCCTCGTCACTTCGCTGTGATGCCAGCAGAACTGGATTACCTGTAGATCGAACTATAACATTTGGAAGTCCATGCTGTGTGTACGGTTTCAAATTCATTCGAGGGAGTGAGTGAGTAAGGTTTAACGCCGCTTTTAGCAATATTCCAGCAATATCACGGCGGGTGACACCAGAAATGGGCTTCACACACTGTGCACATGGGGGAATCGAACCCGGGTCTTAAGAGAGACGAGCGGACGCTTTAACCAATTGGCTACCCGACCGCACCTCAAATTCATTGGATCACTCTACAGGTACCAAAGCTGTGTACTGAAAAGTCAGTATATTTTAAATTATCTCCTTAACGCTGTTTTGTAACGCACAGTATTGTTAATTTTAGAAATGTCTCAAAATGTGATTGTAAATAACTTAACAAAAACAACTGCTATATAAAACATGTTTGTTTATGTCTTGTGTTGTGTTGGCGCAGGCAATAACCTAGTCCTCGGTGTACAACTGCACGAAGCTTCTCTAACTGAAATACTGATTCGATACACTCGAGAACCAGCACAAAGACATCATTAATCAATAACGGAGTCAGTAGACAGCTTATGGATACTCTTGAGTAAACTAGTGTTTACAAAATAGAAGTTTGTTAAATAGGTCGATCTATACCATCTCTTTAATGTATAACGTCAACTCAAGAGTCTTGTTTGGTTTTGTAGAAACAGGTCCAACTGGGCGTAAACAGTGACTGTCGTAAATGTATAATTTATGGATTACGAAAATCAGAAGTCTTCCAATAGGGTAAGCATTCCTTGCTTTACCATAAGCACTGCCAATCACACAGTTTTCATGAACGCGTGGCCTAACGCCGCACGCACAAAAAACACCCCTCGTACGACGGCGGCGGTGACGTTGACTAACGTCTGAGAACGTCAACTACCGTCTAACCACGCATGTCGTAATAGCCCACTAATTAAGTAATGAGTTAGTGAGTGATTATGGTTTTTCTCCGCTTTTAGCAATATTCCATCAATATCACGGCAGGGGACAACAGAAATGGACTTCATACGATGTACCCATGTGGAGAATCGAACCCGGTCTT